TTCCGCGGTTCTGCCATAATGCAACGTTGAAAAATTTCGTGTACCGAGGACAAACACCCCGATTTGAAAGGGGGACAAGAGCCAATTGCCTATTCGTGGATCATGGAGATCACTACCACTTCGTCTTTGAGTGCTGCCCTCAAAACAAAACCAGGACAATACAGAGACTGGATAGAAGTCAGACAATGAATATCATGGCAACCGTGCAACCCGTCATAAACTGGAACCACTTTGCGGCCTATTTAGTACGAGCTGCACAAACACCAATCACATGCATTGGTAGGAAGCTGGAACATTTACGAGACGACCTGTATATGATACCACGTGAACGCAAGGACTGTGCTACGCTACTTAGAGATGAAAGAAGCTCCAGACAAAAGCATAACAATATCACCCGAAAAAGAAGACTAGATCTTATGAGGGAACTCGTACGGACCTATGACGCAAGGAGTTACAATGAGCTATACAAGAGACTCAGTGTACAAGATACGGACGACATCTACGCAGAATACGGTCCAACGTGGAAAGAGACAGCAGAACACTCTATTGCGAATTACTGCAAGGAAATCATACTAGAACAAGAAACCATGACATTCGAACAGATTCTTACGAGCAACCACCATAGTCCGTACCTGCCACATCCGGCAGACACACGACAAGGAGAAGAGTGGTTAGATTTACTGATCAACGTCAACCACATCAACAAGCGAGAACTACTGGTATCCCTCACAGCAGTAATGAACAAACTATGTACACGAAAAAACGCATTCGTAATCGAGGGACCCACAACAACCGGTAAAACATTATTCGTAAAACTGGTCGCTGAGAATTATGTGTATGGAACGGTTCAACGATCTGGTGATCACAGCCAGTTCTTCCTCATGAACTTACTTAACAAAACCCTGGCCTTGATGGAGGAACCTCGTATCACCCAACTCACCGTTAATAACTTCAAAGAGTTGCTCGGGGGTAACCCGTTCGATATACATGTTAAACACCAGAAGGACGAAAGATTGGAACGCCTACCCGTTTTGATTACAACAAACAATCCATTAACGTATTACGTACTTGATGCAGACGGTAAAGCCATTCTAGAACGGTGTTTCTACTTCAAGTTTCATGTGAAGGTGGGATCGCCTGACTTACCCGAACCACCCTGTCATTTATGTACGTGTCACTTCAAAAATTGGTACTTTAAATCTTTGTAAATTTTACTCCCTTGCTCCAACCAATATCTTCTATTTAAACACTAGCACGGGGGGTTAAGATCATTAAGATGACAACCTGGGCAGAGGCAATACGAAACCTGCAAGCAAGCGCACTATGGTTACCCGAACTGTCATTTATGTACGTGTCACTTCAAAAATTGGTACTTTAAATCTTTGTAAATTTTACTCCCTTGCTCCAACCAATATCTTCTATTTAAACACTAGCACGGGGGGTTAAGATCATTAAGATGACAACCTGGGCAGAGGCAATACGAAACCTGCAAGCAAGCGCACTATGGGTGAAAAACTTCGCCATCGAACTGCCTGTAGCACACCAGCTTTTCTGGCATATCCTAGGGTTTCACGGAACGGCACTAGCAACCTCAATAGCACAGTTCATACAAAACAACCGCGAATTAATTATGCAAAGGTTCAAGTTGTTCGCCAGGCTCATCAACAAGGATCTTACTATCGCCGGCTTACTATCCACATGGGACAGATATGTCCTAGATCCAGAGTTTAGAGAACAACTATCGCAAGTGTTACGGGGAATACCATGGGACCCGATTTTGATGATAACGGAAACCCAACTGAACGACATTAAGTACCAGGCACATCTCATGTGGACACATGCAACCAGAGATGTACCACCATATACCGGCAATATGATAGATGTTTTGCAAACCAGACGAAAAAATTATCCTAAGGTTACTCCTGCTCCCCCAACACAACAAGGATCACAACTAGAACCTCCGCCAACTATTAAACCCGAACCTCCCTCCAAACCTCCAACCACAACTAGTATAAAACCAGAGGAACACGAAACAAAGCCCACAACTACAACCACCACCGCGACGACAACACCTGTCGCACCAAAGAAAGATACGCAAGAACCCAAAACTGTCTCCATCATGGAACCTAAACGACAACGTCTCGACACAAACGAGGAAGAGTCCTGTGGGTCGAATCTTGCTGTTGCCAAACATGCTCAATCTCTCTTCGGCATACACTACTACAAAACCGACATCACCATCACTCGCAAACAGCACCTTACTCTCGCTCAGTACAAACCCGCGGACACCGGAATCACACAATATTACGTCACCTCTATCCCGTATCAAATCTTCGAGTTTTGGTCAATTAATATGAATGGTGACAACTTTAGAGACCCTCTTGCAAACCTCGTCGCAGTATACGACTACATCAATTACAATTCGGGTTCTATTCGCTTTAGCCATTTTGTACCACTTCAGCAGAGTCTTAGTTCAACTACGCAACAAGACACGCCAGCGCTCAACACAACACCCTACGCCTACATCGCCAAAGACTCCTTAGGAATACTGGACACGGTCACCTCTCCAACCGCTATTGACAAGGACGTGTTTGTCAACCAACAGTTGAAACTACGCAGCAACACTTATTGGGCTAAAACAAGCGATGAAGGATTACTGGGGTTAGCCGATGTGAAAACCTTCCATCAGGTGGAAACCGTGTACTACAACTTCAAATTTGACAACCAGATGAACTGTCTCAAACAAGCAGTCCCCGCATTTGACAATGCCAGAGGACACTACTTCCCACTGACTGAAAGAAAACCTGTAAAAACGGGAATAGCCATGAATGTCAAAGTCAATAACGATGTAACGGGCAACCAATCCAAAATACCCGAGTATGATCTACCCTTCCTATTCATCTTCCTACCCTACATCGAACAAGTCAACAATACTGAAACTATCGCTCGCCTCTACGCTCACATCCTCATGGAAACACAACTGGATGTCACCCTATGGACAGTACCCGATGGAGCCAAACACCTAACGACCAACATGCACTATAAAAATCAACTGGACACAGTTATACACGAATACTCCACAAAAACACTATCTCAACAAGCCTTCCAATTCAATTAATGGAAGATCCCAACACTCCTATTCC